CGGCGGAGGCTGCCTGCTTCACTTTGCCCCCTTCAGCCTGCGGAGGGTGGGGGGGCAGCCAGCCAGGCAGAGCGAGGTGCACAGGGCAGCCGCAGTGGCTGGCAGTCCGCTCTGGTCGAGGGAGGGGCCAGGGTGGGAGCTCCCTTGCTTCACATCAACCCTGGAAGGTGGCCTATTCTCCCTGGGGAAACTGAGGCACAGGGGCCAGGGGCTCGAGTCACCCATCTGCTGACCCGGCTTTGGGTCCAGGCCCAGTGCTCCGGGCCCTCATGTCACCCACCATCTCATGTCCTGCCCCCCACACACTCATCACTACCACGGCTGCGACCCTAGTGTCCCAGGGCTTCCGGCCTGTGACCCTCGGTAGCTCTGTGTCCACATCCCTACCCCAGCCCGGCAAGATGGGCCTCCAGAGACACTGTGGGCGAGTGAATGAGTGAGTGAGTGAGTGAGCGAATGAGTGAATGAGTGAATGAGTGAGTGAGTTAGTGAACAAACGCAGTGGACACTCGTGGCCGCAGGTCGTCTGCCACTCCAGACCCCACGTGCAGCTGCCTCAGGGTGAGTGGGCAGGACCCTGGCGGCTCCCGGCCCTCACTCACCGCCATGCAAACCCAGGCCCACAAGGCCTCGGGGGAGAGGAGTCCCAGCCCCTTCACCTCCCCTCACCTGCCTGCCTCGGAGGAGACTGTGCCCAGAGTCTGAGGGCCCAGTTGGCAGCCCCGTCTCCACCTCCACACGGCCTGCCCACCAGCCCGCCCCACCTGACCGCCCACCTGACCAACCCACCTGACCACCCACCTGACCACCCACATGACCAACCCACCTGACCAACCCACCTGACCAACCCACCTGACCACCCACCTGACCGCCCACATGACCGCCCACCTGACCAACCCACCTGACCGCCCACCTGACCACCCACCTGACCGCCTTTTCTCTCTCTTGCAGCCAACAGCTCCCTGCTCGGAGGCGGCGGTGGTGAGTGACCCGCGACCCTTCCTACGGTCT